TTTTGACAAAGGGCGGGGGAAGACTCAAAACAGGCAACCTGAGGGACATTCAGAACTGAGTCAATAACTTTAAACAACACATGAGGCTTATGACAGTTTGACTGAATGATATTAGAGAAATAATTTCTCTTAAGATTTTTCACAGTTTTTTGATAATCATGCCAAGAGTCTTTAAGTATCTGAAGTGACACTTGTAGTTTGGGCTATGGGGGTGTTTTTCAGCTGCAGGGACAGGACGACTGGTTGCAATCGAGGGAAGGGTGAATGCGGCCAAGTACAGGGATATCCTGGACGAAAACCTTCTCCAGAGTGCTCAGGACCTCAGACTGGGCCGAAGGTTCACCTTCCAACAAGACAATGACCCTAAGCACACAGCTAAAATAACGAAGGAGTGGCTTCACAACAACTCTGTGACTGTTCTTGAATGGCCCAGCCAGAGCCCTGACTTAAAACCCATTGAGCATCTCTGGAGAGACCTGAAAATGGCTGTCCACCCACGTTTACCATCCAACCTGACAGAACTGGAGAGGATCTGCAAGGAGGAATGGCAGAGGATCCCCAAATGCAGGTGTGAAAAACTTGTTGCATCATTCCTAAAAAGACTCATGGCTGTATTAGCTCCAAAGGGTGCTTCTACTAAATACTGAGCAAAGGGTCTGAATACTTATGACCATGTGATATTTCAGTTTTTCTTTTTTAATAAATCTGCAAAAATGTCAAACATTCTGTGTTTTTCTGTCAATATGGGGTGCTGTGTGTACATTAATGAGGAAAAAAATGAACTTAAATGATTTTAGCATATGGCTGCAATATAACAAAGAGTGAAAAATTAAAGGGGGTCTGAATACTTTCTGTACCCACTGTATGACAGTACGCCTGTCGAATTATGGCCTTTTTTTGTTTTATAACACACAACTGAAACATTTCTATTGTGATAAATAGGGGAGTGAGTTGGGCATTTTAGCTTCACCATTTACCGTGCACTCCCAGCACCCATGTGGCTTTCACATCAAAAACACACGATTAGACCTGGATCATACAGGAAGCTTCCACCTACGAGCTTTGGTTCCTATGGCAACAGCACAGGAAGTACCATGCCACTCTGTCTGCCTACATGTGTGGACCTGTGTGTGTGTGTGGTATTTCTTATTTTTAGGATAATAAAAACAGATCCATAGAACAGGTTAGAGAATAAAATAACAAAATGCAGTTTGTTTAAGCATAATACAATGAATTCAAGGCTTGTCTTTTTTAAATGAACGATGTATCAGTTCTGTCAGAAAGGACAAGTTATGCTTCACTTAACAATTTCATGACAATATTGTATGTTTTTCCATTGCCTCAATACAGTAGCCTGGTCAGATCTGTTTATTTATCCACAGCAGAGGTTAAGTTGAACTGTCTCAGGAGAAATTGTGCTGTAACAATTGCAAAGAAAATCTGTCCCCTGGAAAATAATTTAATTTCACTTTTTAATGCTGCTGGTTTCAGGACTTGAATCTGCAGGGATAATTTGAGGCCTGACTGGAATAATTTGAAGCAGCTAAAACCGTACCAAAAAGTTAATCAGAATTTACACAACAGGGCATTCGCACAGTTCAAGCAACTTACTGTAACTGAGTTTGCACATTTTAATTACTTGCACATTGTTTTTTTTATAAGAGAGTGAAATGACAAAGAGGTCAAATGGATGGAAAAGCTCAATAGGCATTTGGGCAAATCAGAAACATAAGTCAAATAATACACAAATCGAAGTGTGTACTATATACAGTATATTGTACTCTGAGTCAAAGCCATCTCCTCAGTTCAGCAGAAACATATTAAACTCGCACATCAGTGATCACATGACAGCGTCAAGCTCACAGAGTGTACCTTATCTTATTTATGGATCTCTTGCATTCATGTGCATTCAGGTGTTTTAAAAACAATGGGAGGATGGTTAATGTGGTTTGGGCTGCTGGTCAACACAGTCAGCTGCTTTAAGACTCTTAGTGCCTGATTGTAACAGAAACTAAAAAATATAATATTGTAATTTACAGTAGGTGGTCTTGATTAGATTTAGCTGCACATACTATTTAACTGTCCATCTTAAAAGTAACATGATGTCATTTTTTTCCAGCTTTAAGGTCATGATAGTTAATGATATTGTAACTGTTTTGAATATAGTGTCCATGTTTTAACCATACTCTCTATTGTCGTCCTCCAGGTTCTTGCTGCAGAGTCTTGAGGACTTAGACTCCAGCCTCCGAAAGCTCAACTCTCGTCTGTTTGTGATACGAGGCCAACCCACTGATGTCTTTCCCAGGCTTTTCAAGGTGACATATTCTTCTGATTTAGCCACAAATCTGCAGCACCCGGGGCTTCAAACCCTAAATATTCTATTATGCAGCTTACTTTAATCTATTTTTTAATCCCTGTTCCTAGGAATGGAAGATTACTCGTCTGTCATATGAGTATGACTCTGAGCCCTTTGGGAAAGAACGAGATGCAGCTATTAAGAAGCTGGCCTCTGAGGCTGGAGTGGAGGTGACTGTTCGCATCTCCCATACACTCTATGACCTGGACAAGTGAGTTAATACAGTACCTCAGATTTTCTGTCTTTTTATCCTGTAGCAGATTAGAAGTTACGTTGCTTTGGATCATTATTTACTGGGTTTAATGAGCATTTCTGTCACTTAACTGGTATCAAACATGAAAAAGATGTATTAGACTCTTCTGCTTTATTTTACGACTTTATGTACCTGACCCTTTCTGTTCTCATTTCCTCCCTGTAGGATCATAGAGTTGAATGGGGGTCAGTCGCCCCTCACCTACAAGCGATTCCAGAGCCTCATCAGTTGTATGGATGCAGTGGAGGTGCCCGCAGAGTCCATCACAGCTGAGATCATGGGAAAATGCACTACGCCACTGTCTGAAGACCATGATGACAAGTTTGGGGTTCCCTCTCTGGAGGAACTGGGTGGGTGAAAGCAGAGAGAATCTTTTTGTCTGTAACAGCTCCAACACTGGAACAGTTTAGGTTCAGATAAATCATAAAAACATGATCTCACATTCTGTATTTTAAAATTGAAAATTATAGACTGAGTCTTAATGTGTACTTCTGATATGATTCTTGCAGGTTTTGATACTGAGGGTCTGTCTTCAGCTGTGTGGCCAGGGGGAGAGACCGAAGCCCTCACCAGACTTGAGAGGCATTTGGAGAGGAAGGTTAGTTAAAATCAGTTTAATAGCCAGCTTGTAAAACATTTCTCTAGAAGTGGCTCAACCTATTGTGTACTAGAGAGAGAGTTAAAATTGATTTTATAAGATTGGTATTGATAATTTTGGAATGATACTCAGCTCTAGCTTCAGCTTGACCATGGATGTCAAGGGCCCTCGGCCTGAGTGCGTAAACTGTCGGGAGAAGCTAGCTAATGCTAATGTGGTGCCAAGCAAGCTGAAGAGACATTAGGAAACCAAAAATCTCCTCTACGTTGAGAGAAATGTGGCCTAAGACCACGAGATGTGCACCAGAGGCAGCAAAGCTGTTTGTGGGATTGTGTGAGCTATATAATATAATAGTATATGCTAGCAGAGCTTATTACAAAGTAAAGGAACCCTCCCATGACAGCAGAGACACTCATCCTCCCCTCTTGCCAAAAAAAAAAAATATTGTAAGTGTTATGCTAGGTCTAGATGCCACAATGCGCTCTCTTCAGTACCACCAAGGATTTTTTAAAAATCTGTGGGCTCCGACAGGCACGTGTCTCACTAGCTTGTAAGTAGGCAAACAATATTTACAATAGCAAATACTAATTGAAATTTAAGTTACATTTGAAATGTTTTCTTTTCAACTCAGTCATCCAGTTTTCATTCTTAGTGCATCTCTTTCTTTGCAGTTTTAGACTAAAGTGCATACTCTTCTCTGTTGATGTGTATGTACGGTACATTTTATATGCAAATTAGTTTTTATTCTCAGTGCTTCTGTCTTCTGAGTTTGGTCTGTAAGCAGTGATTATATTTAATGCTTCCCTCTCATGACAACTCTACCCCTCCTCGCTCACTCACTCATTTTATTTGTCCTAAATAAATAAAAATAAACAAAGTGACACATCTGATAACCTGATATAGAGGCTGTTTTCCATGAATATAGGTGTGCCTTGAGATTTTGGTTCATCCTTTGGTGTGTCTTGGGCACAAAAAGTTTGAGAACCACTGCTTTAGGTCATTGAAAGCCATGAAAAGCATTTTTGCAGTTATGTAAGGAAAGGTTTTACATGGAAATGTCAGTCTTTTTCTTCTCCGGCTTGTGCTGCTCAGGCGTGGGTGGCCAACTTTGAGCGTCCCAGAATGAACGCCAACTCACTGCTTGCCAGCCCAACCGGCCTCAGCCCATACCTGCGCTTCGGCTGCCTCTCCTGTCGCCTTTTCTATTTCAAACTCACAGACCTCTACAGGAAGGTAAGTCCCCATTGTCCCTAGTTGTGAAACTGCATTGGGTTTTTTTGTAGGACCTGCTCTTTCATGCTTACTGAAAAAAAATTATCATTTGGATCTCCCAGTGAGTTTACCACCAAACACTCATGAACCAAGATCTCATACTGTGCTTCCACTTCTCCAACCCCTGCAAGGTGAAGAAGAACAGCTCCCCCCCTCTTTCACTCTACGGTCAGCTGCTGTGGCGTGAGTTCTTCTACACAGCGGCCACCAACAACCCCTGCTTTGACAAGATGGAGAATAACCCCATCTGCGTTCAGATCCCCTGGGACCGCAACCCTGAGGCACTGGCCAAATGGGCGGAGGGCCGGACCGGCTTCCCCTGGATCGATGCCGTCATGACCCAGCTGAGGCAGGAGGGTTGGATCCACCACCTGGCCAGACATGCCGTGGCCTGTTTCCTGACTAGAGGAGATCTGTGGATCAGCTGGGAGGAGGGCATGAAGGTACACCATGTTGAATAATCAGTATCAGATGATAAAAAAGGGATATTGAATTTTCTATGTAAATAGTTTGTATGTTATTGTTGTTTTCTTGCTTTGTATTTATATTTCTGATTTCTGTCAGTTTGAATACTTACATGTATTTCTGCCCAGTGTATCTTTTCCTGTTTGCTCCTTAAGCCATTGTTCTCAGAGTTAAATATTTTACAGGAAATGCAAATGTAAATGTAAGCATTAACCATCTTGCCTCAGGAGGACCACATGTTGCAGAGCATACTGTATACAGTATAAGTATCCTGCTTCTCAGCTACTACAGGGCTTGGTTGTTTGTTGGTGCAGGTGTTTGAGGAGCTGCTGCTGGATGCAGACTGGAGTGTGAATGCAGGCAGCTGGATGTGGCTCTCCTGCAGCTCTTTCTTCCAGCAGTTCTTCCACTGCTACTGCCCTGTGGGTTTTGGTCGACGCACAGACCCCAATGGAGATTACATACGGTATGCTTGCATTTGTTAAAACACTGTATTTGGTCCTTGACAGACCTACCATATCTTACTTATTCTGTGATTGAAAAAACATACAGGTACAGTAGTTGTCCCTAAAATCAAAAGCTAATTTACATGTTATGGCTATACTGTGTCTACGGTCATATGTCTTCTATCAGACTGTAGGTGGATGACACGGATAGATCAGTGGATGTTTGCCTGTCATAGAAGTGAATTAAGCACCATACATGCTCAATAAACTTCTTCATCTCTTCACTCAGGCGCTACCTGCCCATTCTGAGGGGATTTCCAGCCAAGTATATTTATGATCCCTGGAATGCTCCGGAGAGTGTGCAGAAGGCAGCCAAATGCATTATTGGTGTGCATTACCCCAAGCCCATGGTGCACCATGCAGAAGCCAGTCGCCTCAGCATTGAGCGAATGAAACAGATCTACCAGCAGCTCTCCTGTTACAGAGGCCTTGGTAAGGACACGACACCAGATACTGTTCTCATTTCTCCCTGATGTCTTTCATATTGATATGAAACAGAAACAGTAGGTAAACAAAGTCATTTGGAGAAAAGCAACCAGATGTATGATTCCCATTTTTGCCATTTAAAGAATCCATGTCCTGCTCATTGTGCTCATTTTTAGCCATTTAATGTTTAATCTTGGGTACCTCTGGATTAGTTTTGCACCCATTATAACTCCAAATAGTCTGTAATTATTTCAGAATGATAAAACCAGAGAGCTGCTTCCTAAAAATGAGAAGATAGTTTGTGAATGCGCACAACTCCTGTTGCTGGTCAGGAAGCCGGGACAGCACATAAACATATAACACTGACAAATATGCTTTCAACAAATGCTTTCAACAGCGACAATCCATCAAATCCTACCTGACCTGATCAAGCTAGAATATGAAAGTGATAGCAGGACGAACCACAACGGCATTAATTAATATGAATTTCTCCTCCATAGATAGGTAAACAAAGGTACTGTATATGTACCGATGAAAAGAGATGTGTAACACTCTAAACAAAGCAGGTAATTGAGGAACCCCATATTTTAGCTTTTAATTTTCCGTTAAGTCCCACCGAGTAGTAGCTCCAGGGTCGGTAAATCCAACCGGTGGTCACTGCATATTCCCCCGCACTAAGGCCAGACACACTGGCCTCAAGCAGTCATAACAAACAGGTACTGTGCCCCAGGGGGAATCCAGCATTGATGAGCTGATCACTAACCGCCATGTGAGGGCTTCACTGGCCAGCTGATCGTATGTTAGACCTGGTCAAGTGTAACAGAAAGTCCCTGTACAGGAACATTCCGAGACATGCAGTAACCTCAGGCCCTGTATTTTTATCCACATCCTCTGGTCACAGTGCAGCAGCAGGAGGGAAAATATATCCACAAAACCGCTTGCAGTCAAAAAATACTGCTTCTAAAATGGCTCTGGTGGATGTCCGGCAAGCTCACGTGAATGTGCAACTGCCTGGAGATAATGACCATTCAAGGAAATCCATGAAATGTTGCATAAGACTTTACATAGTTGGAAAAAAAAGTGTCACCAGTGAGAGTTTGCAAGACTTGTATGAAAAGAGTTGCTTCTGCATAGAAGTACTAGACCATAGCTACAGCTCCTTTTTTTTCTTTCAGCCATGTTTAAGATGATAATTCATCATTGTAACAGATATGTCAGAAAACACAGAAAAGCATGCCATGGGCTCTAACGTATTTATCATGACACTTATTTAACAACAGCATTAAATCACTCTTTGTGTAGCTTTTTCCAGATTGTGTAAGAGGGAAAACAACAACAATTGATCAAAATGACCATGAATGAAATGAAAATGTATAAAAGCAAAGTATAAAAGCATAAAATGAGCTATAAAAGGAAGATAAACACCAAGACTTTCATATAACAAGAAGTCTAACTGACTGTTAAGACGTCGTAGTAGATAATGGCGCATGTTTAGCATGCCTTAAACTCTTAAAACGAGTTTTGGAGCCAATTGTCTCCTGGTTTAAGTTGGACTTAATTAATTACTGTGAAAGTTCTAAACTTGCATTAATGTAGTTGATGGGATCAGATCTGTCTGATGCTGCTGTATTTGTATAAGACTGAAATAAATGACTGTCTGTGTCCTCAGGCCTTTTGGCTACAGTTCCATCCAACTCCGGTGGTAATGGGAATGGTAACGGTGAGACATCATCAGATGGGATGGGATTCCCTGTTGAAGCTACACACAGTGCCACAACTGCGTCTAGTAAGTAACACTAGACTTCCTCATAACTTCCTCTGTAACCACTGGCACTGAAGCTATGTCTATGAAGAGCTACCTGTTATGTTGTTTTAGGCTATCAGATGCCGGTTCACTCCCAGGGAGACTGGCAAAGTGGTGTTATGATGTACCTGCAGGGGGGTCCACAAACCAGTATCAGCACACAGCAGCAGGGTGGGGACTGGCAGCTCTTACACATTTCACTGTTTCCTCTCATTTGTACATTATGCATTGTCCTAATACCTTACACTTGATTTTCTCCTTTATGCCATATTTGGTTTCATATATCTGCCCCCTTTATGTTACTTCATACATTAATCTTGAGGTCGAGTGACATCGCTGCTAATACTTGAATCTTGCTTGAAGTTTCAGGTTGTGCAGGCAACAGTTCCAGCATGATGTGTTACAGCCAAGGCACCCAGCATATTCCTGCTCCTGTCATTCAGAAAGGTGGGAACTGATAAGCTGTTGGATTGAGGAGACTCCGTAATGAGCAGTGATGATTTTAGTGATTAATTCTTATTTGGCTGAAGATTTGTCTTTGATTAGATGAGAGCATTAGGCTCTCTGCCCTCCGTATCACCAGCCTGTATCATCCATGCTGTGTAGTTCATTATACTACATCTGTAATTTTTCTATACATAGTGACAGAGATGGTAAAACTGAATTGGTTTTGTTGTTTTTTTTCAGGGCCTGAACACCACTCCACCACTCAGACCACTGGCAAACGGCACAGCAAGGATTCTGGAAATGGCAAATGCTCTAAAGTACAGAAACAGAGTAGTCACTAGAAAGGTTAGCTTATGTCTAACTAAAGTCTCAGAGGAAGAAAATAAATAGAAAACAGTAATTAACCTTCAGTTCACCAAAAGTGTCTCTTTTTCCAAAATGTATTATGTAAAGTCATTAAATCTTCCTTAGTCATATTCATTTATCAGGAGTGAAGACTTGATTGGTGAAACCTTTACATGCATTTATTCGACAAGTTCTATATAATAAGTATGTTGGTATCTTTTCTCCTCATGCAGGACTGTATGCAGACTTACTGACCGTTACGCTGTGTATACACAGTGGACGCCAGGACTTTTTCATTACAGCACTACAGTGTCGCATGAACACACCTTCAAGAGGAGCATCCAAAACCCATCATTAAACACATTCACAAGTAAACGCTTCTCAAGTAATCAGACTGTATTTTATCATATGGACTGCATGGCCCAGGCAGTGCTGACATGACCGGAGAGGGTGTTGTTACACTGTGCTTATCTTTTGGTTAATATTGTTGGCAAAAAAAGTCCTTGTGTATATATAGAATTAGCTCATTTCAGCTCACATACAACTTGTACATATTTGGATATTGTATGTGCATTTTTTTTCTCTCTTTGTGTAGCCATAGACCTATTGATATATTTTTGATATGGGAAATCATAGTGGATTGATCCTTCTTTTTGGAAAATTTTCAAAAAGACCGTCTATTCCAAAAAAAAAGGTGAGAAATCCTGTATCTCTGCTAATACAGCTGCCTGTCCTCTCATTTATTCTACTTCCCATTTTCTCCTTTTTGAGCCAGCCCATGTATCTCAACAGATGTGTTAATTTCTCAACAGATGTGATAATTTCCTTTCTCTCAGTACTAGTTGGCTCGTTGTATTCCTTACCACTGTAGAGACAGTATCACTATGACATTAACTGTCAATTTATTTCCCTTATCAGTGGTACGTACTTGAGAAAAGGTGGCAGAAATACAGTCTTCATACCATGGTGTCCCCCCTGTATATTCCCCAGTAAACCTGCCACTGGAGAGAGCTGCTCCACTTATTTCTTCTCAATGTGTTTGTTTAATTAAAACCTGGTTAAAGAGACAAATGGTTTCAGTTGTGGGGGTTTTTTGGCTCCAAAGTGTTAAATGTCAAACTGTTGTATATTTAAGCAATGAAATGAACCCGACTGATGCGGTGCTTTTACTCTAAACCACAGTTAAAGGTAATGCAGATTGTGATACAGTGCTGTACATCAGTAACACAAATTATTCAGTCATACTAATAGCCCATTGGTAGATTTTATACTGTACATAAAGTCAGTATAGGCATAGGATAGATTGCACTGAAGACATCATTTACAAACTGACAAAAAAATAAGGTATTAAAATACATACGTAAATGCGTGTTCGTTTTGTTCATTTCACACAAGCTTAATTTTACACGACTGAAAACAGCTCGACTTCATTAATGTATTTAAACAATTTCAATATTAATTTCACTTAACCTTTAATAATAACAACAATAATATAGGTTTTAATAATACGATCATGCTCAACTTTCACAAAAAAGCGAGAGAGATGATGTCATTTCCTGTCGCCGTCTGATATTTGTTGAGAATGTCCAGGGATCTTGTGTATGGGTCTTTGACTCATGCTTACTTCCAGTGCTGCAAAAAGTTATTGGCATTCTGAGCCTTTTGGGCAACATTTTAAAAACAATGTTAGGGTCTGGTGTTTTGTAATGAGGAAACGTCACTCCATGTGTTTCCCTGGTGTGTTTTTGTTTTTGAACAACAATGGAGTTGAATGGCACAGAGGAATAAGGTCATCCAGTTTTAGTCTATGTATGGGGGGTGTTTAAAATACTGCTAATATAGAAAATGGCCAGCCTTACCCTTTAAATACAATAGGATAGTTAAATATGTGTATTAGACCCATCGGTGGTTTTATGTTCCATCAGGATTTTTTGTAGCTTTTCTTTTTCTGTTTTAGGAAAACCAGTAGCTTTGAGTTTCAGCTATTTATACCCTTGGCATTTGTTGCCTTTCTTTGCTGATAGACACACTTGTCCCTTGCCACCAGCAACTGAGAGCGCCTTGGTTATGCTGGAACCACCTGCTCCTCTCGTGTTGAGCACAGGCATGTTTTAGTAGAGCTCAGTCCACTCTGGGACATTCTTATAGGCTTTAGGACTCATTTTGTCACCCTGTAAGGCCACAATTAGCCTATTTTCACTCAGTGGGAGCTCCAGAAGGTTTATATTAAGACTCAAATTAAACCCCCTTCAGTTTCATCTGCTACATACTGTACATGTACCACAGAATAACGTCAGAAGCTTTATCCTAAGGCGGCTCCTGGGATTCTCAGATGCTGCAGAGCACCTGTCCTCTCCTGTCAGTTATCTCATCTTCTAAAAACTGCATTTGTCCTTCTACAGTGATAACTCAAGGCTTGGGAACATACATTCTTGACATCAGTATTGAAGTGTTTTCACATGGGACCAATTTTGCTTTAATCTTCTCAGCACTGAAGGTAGAAAGTCTCCAACAGCAAAAATATTTTAAGTTATATTCCAGAGTGGAGACAAGGCCAGAGCAGTAAAGCTCATCTATAATGTTCCTATTGAAGTTCTTTTGTGGCACCTATCTTTTTTTAAAGTGTTGCTTCCCATACAGAAATAACTTTAACTAAGAAATAACTAAGTGCTTTACAGATATAAACACAATGTCAAAGACACCAGGGGATAACAAACACCAAACTAAATATAGCTGATAAGAGTTTTTGATAAATGGATAATCATTGTTTTTGCTAGGACTGAGAATATAGTTTATCTTTGCAGTTATTTTTTTCTAACTCAAAAATAAAATGCTACTTTGATGATGCCACAGGGCACAGAATAGTCAAGGTATTTGTTCTTTTTATAACTTCCCATCATTACAATCCTCACCAGCCCCGACAAACTGAAGAGATAGCTGTGTGCTTTGTTAATGGAAACTTTTAGACTATCATAATGGATTAGGAAGTTCCCCAAGTTGTGATCATACCACATGATTCACTGACTGTCCATAGAAGTCACTGGAATCATCCAGGTTACCAAGGAATTGTGTTATTGATCCTCTGTATATGTCTACTTCTTGATTTCTTGTCCGAGTCAGCCGCTCAGTAGGCCTTTAAAAGTATGGATGTTGCTTATTTTGGATGATACCATGTGTTGTTTTGTGGGGCTATAAAGCACAAGTATGTGTGTGCATCTGTTGTGTTTCTGAAATAGTCTCTCATCTTGCCCTTACAAAGGAATGAGGAGCATTGCAGGGTCAGAGCAGAGAGCAGGGGGGGTCTACAGGGGATAACTGTGTATGGCTGACAAGGCTTGGTGAGGGAGAAAATAGACTATTCCATCTGTCTCAAAATCTGCCCTGCTGACCCACACTCTGGAGACTTTGTTCAGCCACACCTCACATGACACAGGCAAACCCTTAAAACCCCCAGGCTGTAAGACTCCAGCCATCTCTTAGGTGCAGACACCAGTTGGCCTTGGTGCTCATCCTGCTTCTCTGCCTAGAAAGGCCCCCGCCATACCATCATGTCAGACACTGAGGAAATTGTGGAAGAGTATGAGCAGGAGGAGGAAGAAGAGGTGAATGAAGAAACTACAGAGAAGACAGAGGAGCATGTCGAGGAGAATGAAGAGTCCAAACCACGACCTAAGTCAAGTTATTTGCCAAATATTGCTCCTCCCAAGCTCCCCGATGGAGAGAAGGTGGATTTTGATGACCTCCACCGCAAGAGACTTGAAAAGGATTTCAATGACCTCCAGACACTAATTGAGCAGCATTTTACCAACCGTCAGAAAGAGGAGGAAGAGCTTGTGGCACTACGGACCCGTATCGAGTGCCGTCGCTCTGACAGGGCCGATCAGCAACGTGAGCGCGCAGAGCAGGAGCGTGAACGCCAAGCGCGGCTGGCTGAGGAGAAGGCGAGACGTGAAGGAGAGGCAGCTAAACTGCGTGCTGAAGAGGAGGCCAAGAAGAAGAAGACATTCACCAACAAGTCCTTTGGTGGCTACCTGCAGAAGGTGGACCAGAAGAAGGGCAAGAAGCTGACAGCACGAGAAGAGAAGAAGAAGGCTTTGATGGAGCGCAGGAAGCCGCTCAACATCGACCACCTGAATCAGGAAAAGCTGGTGGAGAAGGCACAGGACCTGTGGAAGTGGCTCCACCAGCTGCATGCTGAGAAGTTCGAGCTGACTGAGAAGCTCAAGAAGCAGAAGTATGACATCCATGTGCTCCGAAACCGAATTAGCGACTCCAAAACAAACAAGACCTCTCGGGGGGGCAAAGGCAAATCTGGCTCCTGGAAGTGAGCACCTGCTTTTGGACTGTTATAAAAGCACTCCAAGGGACTGTGTGTAGATTAAACTATATGTAGTTATCAGCAGTTCTAGTTAACGATGGTGGTATTCACAAACCGGTGAAAGACCATTGAATCTGATGGAATGTGTAGTGCTCTTATTTTCACTGCTCCACTAGAATATCCTTTGTGGTTGTTTTATTCTTGCACAGCATATTCTTCACAGTTGTTTTAGATTAGATTAGATTCAACTTTATTGTCATTACCCATGTATAAGTACAAGACAACGAAATGCAGAAGTGCAATAACAGCAGTGAAGAATGCGTATCATCTACAGTAAGATATGTAGTATATATGTTTTACCTGTATACACACTTTTCCCTAAGTGATAAAATTTGCTATCAAGTGTTTAAAACTTCATGTAAGGTAGCAACATTTCATTTGCTGTCAATAAATCACTGTAACATCTAGTGACATTATTTTCATGCAATAATCAGACTTGTTTCAAGGTATTCTTTCTTCATTCTCCCACGTTAGAAAAGTTGGTTTCTGACTAATTGAACAAGAGTTAAGAAAGAGTAGCAGTGTGTAGTGGTGCTAGTGTTGCTGGGACTGTGCTAAATAGTTGAAAAGTCTAACAGGTGTTGCACAGCTGACTTCTTATATAAGATAATTTAGTCTCTGAGGCTCAGGACTAGCGGTGCACGCCTGCAGTGTTTGTAGAAAAAAGGCCCAACTTGAACGAAAGGTAAACAGCGTCTGCGGAGAGGAAAAAGGCTCACAGAGGAGTGCTTGATGTTGTCTAGAGAGTTCCTTGTTCATTCTGCAATTCATGATCAAACGATTCTTTGTGATTATACAGTCTTATGCAAAAGTTTAGGCACCCCTTGATAAATAACAGATTTTGGTGATTTTTTATTTGAACAGATGTTAACACAGTTTCTCTTGGAAATGGAAAAAATGCACAATATTTTCAGCAAACAGTGATGCATAGTTACTTCTTATGCCATAAATTGAACAAAAATAAAAAATAAAAACATTATTATGGCATGGTGCAAAAGTTTGGGCACCCTAAGAGTTCCAGAGTCTCAAAGTCTCTCACAAGGTATCAGACCTTAATCAGCTCGTTAGATCTGATGCACAGCAACAGCTGTCATTGGTAAATGCCAATTTCAAAGCTGTACAAATACTTTGACTCTTCAAACCTTGTGCACACACTTGTGGACACCCAGCAACCATGGGTTCCTCTAAGCAGCTGTGTAAGACCCTGAAAATGAAAGTTATTGATGCCCACAATGCAGGAGAAGGCTACAAGAAGATAGCAAAGCGTTGTCAGCTTGCAGTTTCCACAGTAAGAAATGTAATTAAGAGATGGCAGATCAGGGGAACTGTGGAGGTCAAGATGAGATCTGGAAGACCAAGAAAACTCTCGGACAGAACTGCTCATATGCTGGTCAGAAAGACAAATCAAAACCCCCATTTGACTGCAAAAAACCTGCAGGAAGATTTAGCAGACTCAGGAGTGGTGGTGCACCGTTCCACTGTGCAGCGATGCTTGCACAGACAAGGCCTTCATGGAAGAGTCAGCAGAAGAAAACCTTATCTGCGTCCCCATCATAAAATCCAACGTCTGAAGTATGCAACAGGACATCTACAGAAGCCCGATGCGTTTTGGAAACAAGTGCTGTGGACTGATGAAGTTAAAATAGAACTCTTTGGACACAATCAGCAAAGGCATGTTTGGAGAAAAAAAGGAGCAGCATTTCATGAAAAGAACACCTTGCCAACTATTAAGCATGGGGGTGGATCTATCATGCTCTGGGGTTGTGTTGCAGCCAGTGGCACAGGAAACATTGCACGGGTGGAGGGAAGAATGGATTCCACTAAATACCAGCAAATTCTGGAAGCAAACATCACACCATCTGTAAAAAAGCTGAAGCTGAAAAGAGGATGGCTTCTACAACAGGACAATGATCCTAAACATACCTCGAAATCCACTATGGAATACCTCAAGAGACGCAGGCTGAAGGTTTTGGAATGGCCATC